TTTTTATGTATAGTATGTCTCTCTATATAAACTTCTTTATTTTTAATAGGTAGCAACGTTTTACTTTTTTAATATGTTTGTTCATTATTCTTCTAATTTCTGATTCCAATATGACGTTATTATTACTATGTTTTTTTCAATTTTCAAAATTCCGTTATAAAATATATCCTATCTTTCTTTTCAGGGTTCTTAGACCACATAGCCAGTTATTCCAACTTCCAAGTTCTATGGCTTTGACTTATCATCATAACTGTTATTATCATAATTGTATTGTACGTAAACCCTGGGCAAGGTCATTAGCATATGAGCTGTATGTTTTTAGTTTAAATTCGTCTGGAAGTGGATTTGAGAAACGTGCCTGTCTACTAAAGACAAGCTCGGAAGGTGCAAAGCCTGTTGCTAAATAAACTGATGTAGTTTACTCATGCATTGCAAAAGGAACTATTTCATCTCAATCATTTTTGTTTTTAGCTTTAGTTCTCAAGAATTCGTTTAACATAGCATGGCTTTTCTCTAATGAACCATTTGATTGTGGGTGATATGCAATGGTGAGAGCTAAACCAAATCCATAAATTTTTTTAACTCATGTCAATACTTAATTTATGAAACTTTTTGATCTGTCACTAAGAATAATTCTAGGAATGTCATAAGTTGACAAAAAATGTCTTGCCATTCTTGATAACACATCAGCAATAGTTATTAATTATGTATTAGGAACAGGAAATCGTATAAAAAATTTTGTAAGTAAGCATTGCATTGCTAGAATGTGCTTATTTCCAGATGTACTTTCTGGAAAAGTGCCTACTGTATTGATTGCGATAGGTTCTCTAGTTTTTGTGTGGACTAATTCTCGTTCCTGGCAAATTTTACATTTTTTTATGTATTCAGCAATATCGTTGCGCATTCTTTTACAACAATATTTTTATCTTATTCGTCTTTAAGTCTTTACTATTCCTCTATGACTTCCAAATAAGCTTGTATGACATCCAACTAATTTTTCCTTTCTATTTTCTAGGCTAAGATAAGAACATGCACTAAATCGAATTTTAATGCAAGAGGAAGGTGACGTAATTCTTCGTTAAAAATTGATGGCATTTCTCGTCTGGAGAGATCATCAGTGAGTTTAAATTTCCTAGAAATACGAATGGTGCTTAGTTTTCTTTCTGATATTGAACATGCAAGATTTTTAAAGCAGGTATGTAAAATTTTAGGTTTTATTTCATCAGTAAAGTTTTTGTTCACAACTAGTAAAAATATGTGGTGATTTCGATTTTTCGTAGTAATGACGTCTTATAATTTGGGTTGAGCTTCTAATCATTCTTCTTTTGATATAGCTTATATATCTAATAGTAGTTTATTGACTTTAAATCTACAGTTTCCAAAATAAAATAGATGCAATTGTTCTTGGTGTAAGATTAATGTGTACGAGTACTTCAAAATGTTAATTTAGTTGTTTTATAAGTTATCTTAGATGGATTTCCAATAGGACTTATATTTCTTGCTTCTTTCCCACTACGAGTTAAGTTTTAATTTTGTTGTATGTTTGCTTGCAGGAAAATATTTTGAGTGGAAGTTTTCTTGGTATCATAATCAGTTTTATTTTCTATGTGTTCTTATTAAGTGGGGTTGTGGTCTCTTTCTTTCTTACTATTTTGTTCTATAAGTAATAAAACTTTTTTGTATAGTTCATCATTAAAGTTTTGTAATTTATTTTTGGTAGGACTATTTCTGTGTGATATAATTAGAGATGTTGCTTTTATGTGATTTTAGTTTGCAATAAATTTGTTTATTGTTTTATCGATCCATTTATTTACTATAGTAGGAGAGAATAGATTTTGAGGTGACGATAGAAATGAATTTATTTATTCTTGATTCGAGTAACTGCCGTCATGACGTTCGGTACGGAATGTAGGTAAAAATTTTGTTTCTTCAAGAATGTTATTACATGGTATTTCATTTCTTTTATCGTTACTATCTCACCATAATAAGTTTGAGTTCCATTCTTTAATAAACCTTCCTTTGTTGCAATTATTGTAACTTTTAGTATTATTTTTCGAATTTAATAACTGCTCTTTATCTTTATTTTTATAGGTTACCTGATTTTGTACAGTGCTTTGAAAAAAAGATGGAAATTTTGGTTTTTTTGTAGTTAAATTTAAAGTTTTTTCATCAGAACAAGTAGAGTCTTTATTTTGTTAAAACGTTTCAGATTTTTGATTTACGTCATTGGCTCGGAATGTACTGGGTTTAATTAAAATATAAGTTTGTCTTAGTGGAAAACTTACATTTTTTTCGATTATTTTTTTTAATTTCCTTGTTTCTCGGAATTTTGTCACCTTAGTTTTTTATTATATTATACGAGGTCTTTTCTGCAAGTGCATTTAATAAGCTTGGCATAAATGGTCGTTCTTGTAATGGTATTGGCGCGTCGGATTGTGGGTCACTAAGCTGTGAAGTAAACGCGGCTTGGAGTTTAGATGAGGAGTCTTTTATTTTAGCGCTTGGTGTTTCTTTTCTTCGCCTCATTTTTAATCTGCCTGCTTTTGTAGGTGCGTTAAATTCACCTTGCCCGCCATTCATACATCGAGGTACTTTAAACAGTGTATCGTTAGGTTTATTTTTTCTGACTTTAGGTGCTGATTGCATGCTTTCCATGGTATAAAAATGGAATTGAGTGGTTTTTGATTGGTTTTTGATTTTATAGGTAGCAAAAGAGCTTTTCATGGTATTTCTTCGTCCGAACAATTATCGTTATCACTTTCATTTTTATTCCATTCTATTGGACTTCCTAATTTCTATTTTTGTCGGCTTATCTCTTATGTTTATAGCTATTGTATAATAGTCACTTTCTTTGCAACGTACTACCACCTCGCCTATACACACTCTGAGTACGGCAGTAATTCTACGAAGATAAGCATGGCTGGTGATATTGTTTCTAGTCGGTAACTTGATGGCTACTCTTGTCCTGGCTGGTAAATTATAACTTCTGTTCTTATTTACTTTAAATCCTTGAGAATTATAATAAATAGCTTTGCTTGGAGGCGTGGGTATTTTACCTTCATCGTAAAATGGAAAAATAAATTTTTCAAAAGTTGATTCGAAATTTTGTTCCGTTCTCAATCTTAAGGATTTTTGGTAATTTTTTTTGTTATTTATTTAATTTTATAGAGTTGATTTTACTATCAAGGTATAAAAAAAGGAAAGGCTCAGTTGGTCTGCTTCCTACTATCAATGCATCTCATCCACAATCGAATCTAGCGTTTTCTTGTGTAAAGAACGGATCTCCTAAAATACATACATTATTTATTGGCGATTCTGGACGCATAACGTGAAACTAGTTATTTGTATTGAAAAAATTTAAAGTTACGATACCACGAGTATATATCTGCTGTGGAGCTACGTCTTCTAATTCAATTGTATTATCACAATTAATTTCTGTGCTGTTCCTTAATGCGTTATAACTGATGACATTTGATTCTACGCCTGAGTCTAATGTGAAAATTTTCGAATCTTTCCAAAACTTTTTGCAACGTTACTTAATTGCTAGTAAGTTTCCTATTGTTCCGAGCAGGAGGGCTCTCTAGATTTTATTGTCATTATTGATTTCGAACGTCTCATCGGATTCAACTCGCAGTCGCATCGAACCAGCGAGTCTTGTTCTCGTTTTTTGAAGAGTTAGGGCGAGAGTCTTGGTATCATTCTTGATTATAATTTTAGTATTGTTTTTGATTGTAGTAATAAAATGGAGTATGTTGATAGTATCTATAGCGTTGATTATGAGGATAGGGATAATACATTTATGGGTAGTAAGGTGGATAAAAAGGTTGTGATTGAGAATACAGAAATTCTTGAAAACTTAAAGGGTAATAATAGTAATTAGGTTAATTTTTTCAGGGTGGTGGTGATGTACGGCATGGTAGTGAAGTAATAAATCGTCACTGATGTGCGTAGCTTTGTGTGGGATGTATAATTTTTTGACCATACTTGTCGAATTTTGGTTGAGTCATCTTGACATCATTTTTATCGTAGGTATGCGGGAAATAATTTCTGTTGTTGGTCAATAGGCCATTAAAACTGACGTATTTTTTTTGGTGGTCAAACTAAGTAGAGACAGAAACAGCAATTCCGGTAACGTTTGTACATGGTCGTGGGTACGTACTTGGCCTGATTGTATACTGGTGGGATCGTGCGTTCAGTAGATAAAGCAGCTTCTGAAGCTTAGTGGATGTCTTTGGGTTTTGAAAGTGCTATTGTTAATTTTCACGAGTCAGGTAAACTGTTAACAAACATTTGTAGTGCTGATATTTTATATTGTTGTTTTTGTGTTGTTTTGAGTTTGTCATTATTCTATTTAGTCAAGAGGGCTGATAAGATAATTACTGAAAGAAAAATTATTCTATACTAAAAATTTCGAATTGTCTCGTTGTGTTTCATTGTAGTATTTGAAAGTTCTGCTATGTATTTATGATACGATTTGGTTGGTCAAAATTCTTGTTTTAGATGTTTTTTTAACTGATTAATTGATGCAAAAAAAGAACCTACTACTCGTCCACTTTCTACACCTTGTAAAAAGTCTTTTAAGGGAATCGTGTATCCGTCATAAAAAGTTATATGTTAAGATGCGTGATTTACGCACATTTATGAATTAGTCATTCTTAATCCTTGTAAAGCATTCAAAAACTGTTGTATAAGTAAGTCGTCCCCTGACGAGTTTTCTCCACTATTTACGGGCATTTTTATTTGTTTTTTTTTTTCTTATTTGTTTATATTTATTAACTGGGAAATTCCTTTCTTTCTTCTTAAAGAAGATGTATTTGATAGATTTAAAAAAAAATACTAATCAAAATAGATAGGAATAAGAAATATACAACAGATATTATAATTGGTAAAGCTTACTCCAAGTATATCAAAAGGTTAGAATAATAAATTGTACTTATTAAAGGAATTTTTTAATCATTTTTAAATCATATTGAATATAAATAAGTGCAACATGTACTTACATCCCTCATATTAAACGTGATTTCAAGATTCTGGCTAAAATGAGACAAAAATTCGGGATACAAAGCTAAAACTCCTAAAAGATCGTCACGATGAATTTTATGCAAATCACAATAAGTAAGAACACAGGCATTACAAGAAGATTTTCCAATAGAGGAGTAGACACAAGGATTTTCACCAAATATGTCATCTTTATTTAGAATGGCCATAACTATATCATCCTTTAGAATTTCAATACTCCCTCTTGATATGAAATATACGTATAGTAAGACATCTCCACGATGAACTAAAACATCACCTGGAGGTGCATGAGTAGTCTTGAATTTAAGTGAAAGTGCTCTGTAAAAAAAAGTTGAAGAGTAAGTAAACTATAAGAAGAAAAGTTACAAAAGCTTTTATCATAATTTGTCTCTAAAGACAGTATTAACATATTTTTATTATTATAATCCTAATGAATTTCATAAAAGAATCTTTTTATTAACGGGGTAAATGTGGTCAAGTTCAAAAGAAGTATGGAAAGGCAGGAAGAACATGCTTTACCACGTATTATGTTGAAATAAGTTCTTTAAAATTATAGTTCAAAACGAGCTCCTGCTATTTCACAATACTTTACTGTTATAATAATTTTATTTTAATACTTGGGATGGTGAAAATTTAAAAAATCTATAAAATTTTATTTTTAATTTAATCGAAGAAGTAACATACTCCCAGTTTTACAGATAGCAACAAAGATCAAAAGAATATTACGATTAACGAAAGGAAGTCGTTTGGGAGTACAACTAAGACGGTTTTAATAATCAGGCGAAGCCTTGAAGACCACGCTACAATTTACTCTAGTTTCGCATTCTCAAATTTCTAAATAGTAAAAAAAAATTGTTTGTACGAGAACACCTGATATTTTTTTATTTTTTATAATTTTTTCATATACTATTGAACAGATTTGCAGATAAATATGGGCCAAAAAGTTAATCTTTAAAAATTTGCTTATCTTGTATCCGGTCTTATCACACACTCTTGATACACATTATGTCCAACTATATTCCTATTATAGTCACTATAATATCACTATTCATACTTTTTTTTAAAGTAATTACACTTGCAATTTAATATTATAAGACTCATCTTGATTTAATGCCTGGGTTAAGCCAAGACATTTATTTTCTGAATCATCTTAACAGTGAAAGAGATTTATTGAATGATAAGGCCCTAATCCGGATTTTGTTGAGTATGATATGTAGCATTGTTCTATCGTTCTAGCACCTTCAAATCAGCATTCCAGTTTATTTTTGATTTTGTTTTTAATGTTCATGATTGTTCCTTTAGGCCCCTTGTTTTGATTTTAAATTTTGCTTATAGGGTCATTATATTCCTAATCAGAAAGGGTCCACTTTCTATAACTATTGTATCGGAAATCTGATGTTTTTCTTTGATAAAGAACTTAGTGTTTAATTCTTCATCATTATAAGTATCACAACGTAGGTTTCTTCATCTGCTTTTTCTCAAAGCGCATTAAATTTGCCATCGTTTTTGAAAGCGAACATTCTTTCGAGATGCAGAAGTGCGTAATGGTCAATTTATTCATCACATTTTGTTGTTTACTTGTGAAACATTAAAAACATTGTCAGTTGTCTTAAATATAAAGGTCGATGTAAGAGTGAACCATATTTTTCATGATGATTTAATAAATTTCAATAACTACTTTATCTTTAACCATATCGACGGTCTATGAAAAAAAATCACAGCTTGGGAGCCCTAGTAAAAATGAGCATATCTCAAGAGTTCAAATAAAAAAACATGCAATTAAGAATTAGAAAAAAAACGCTGCTTACGAATGAAGGCACAATGAGCAGTGCACTTATTTTTAGCTAAAAGCAAGTATAGCTCGTACATTTAGACAAAAAGAGGTATAGCTGACACGTCCAGACGAAGAAAGCATGGCTCGTCATATTCAAAGAAGTATAGCTTCAGCGTTTGGATAACAACAATCACGGTTCTTTATTTAGCCTGCTTGCATACTTACAAAAAAAGGGTTCTGACCTAATTATGTAGAATAATTGTTAACACAATTTATAGAGTGCACTTATAACTTTATTACTATACAATTTAAATATAAACTATCACAGATAAAAAACCTAATAGTTTTATAGTATTTGAAATAAATATAGTACGTTTCCAGGCAAGTAAGTAACAGCTATTAGAAACCCAACATTTTTTTAGTAATAATAATAAATAAAATGTGCTTTTAAATTAGTAAAACTAGTAAGCAGCAACGATAAGGAACACTACAGTTCTTTCGAATTACTGATAAATGAAATACGATTTCAAGCGAAAGAGCATTAGCGACTAGAAACCTAACAGTTATCTAGTATTATTGAAATATAAAGTACACTAGTAGGCTAGTAAGCACGGGTGATTAGAAACCCAACAGTTTTTTAATATCAGTTGCATCGACTATAAATGGACTGTATGGTATAGAGGATGGCTGGATACAGGTATATGGGATAAAAGAAATCTTGAATACGTATTTGACTTTCTATTTAATAAGAACAGTAGGCACTAAAACACAACTGCGTGTTACAAGATTAAATAATATTTTTTCACTTTGAGTGCAAATAAGCGCTTCTAAGCTCTTCTTAGTAAAATTTACAAACTCAAGCAGTTTTGCGTGGTACTAAGCTGTAGCAGAAAATAGGGAAAACGATTTATTAATACTCATGACAAGAACAAACTGAGCTCGTCTCCAAGCTTCTGGCTTCATCTTGCTTCCCTTTTGCTTTATGGTGGGACCAGGTTAGTGCTGTTGTCAACAGAATCAGAAGTCTTAACTGTCGCAAAGGAGGTAACGTATTTATTTAATATATA